CAGCATCTAGCCCCAGTTGCACCATATTGGCTTAGTTGGTTAATGAGTAATCTGCTTTATTTATTTCTAGTTGCACTATTACAGTGTAGAATAAATAAATAATAAATTACTATCCCAGTATATCAACAAGTTTCTTGTTGAAATCTGGCCTGCAAGGCGTGTTCACTGCCCTAATTACAAAACATTAGTTTTTGGCGCCTGCGCCACAAACTTCAGGCAGCGTTCAGACTTCACAGTGGCAGCGCTTCAGTCGCGCGTTCGACGCGATCGATGCAGTCGAAAGCATGCGCATCGATCGTCGAATCGCGCGACCGAAGCGCTGCAGTCGCGAAGTCTAAACGCTGCCTCAGGCGCTTTAGTGATATCATTTTGCATCCTTATTTCGGAGACGGTATTTATCTTTGCCGTAGTGTAGGAGTGAAGGAGACGTTTTGCGTAAAATGGGCGCCTTTGGCGAAAAAATGAAATGGTGCGGGAGTCAAAATATGCTCTGCTTATATGGGTTATTCAATTCTCTAGTCATTTGACTAACCGACTTTCAGCGACTTTTTTTGAGATCTTGGACTAGTAACAGTGAATGATGCTGTTGGCTTACGCATCATGGCGTTTCTCCTAATCTGAAATCTTCTGTGGTCATTATTCCTTTTATCAATGCTTCATTACTGTTCGATAGAGACTTCTGTTCTTGTCACAATGTTTGTTGTTTCGCGGGAATCCTCATTTTATTGATGTTTATGACGAGCATTTTCAACGCTGCTTTTTTGCGTTAGGGACAAATTGTACACTCACCTGTGGATCCCGTTCTTTCCCTTGTGTGGGGAATGGGAATGCAGCTAATGCACTGCTATGCCCCACGCCAGCCACAAGCCTAACCATGAGAAACGCGCCACTTGTCCGGCCTTTTTCTTTCTCTACCACTGCGTAAATCTTTCGCTGCGGAGCCTTGGTATCGACGCAAGTGCTGCATCTTGAAGATAGCGCGCGCGGAGTATATAGGCGACACTCGGGTACCACCACCGTCTTTTTTCGTTCCCGTGCCTTTTTAGTGAAGAAAACGTCACGCTACTGTCGCTGCGAACCCATTTTCCTTGCACATGGCAAAGATCCTTCTCGTGGGTGACCGTACACTTTGTCTTCGGACCTGAAATGCTAAAGACGCAAAGCTGTTCCGAAGATTCTTGGTGTATTTTCAAGACCAAATGCTTCATGCGGTAGCCACGAACCGGTTTGCATTGAAAAATGGCAATTTCTTTTTTTAAATGTGCATCGCCGTAGAACCCGTGGACATCGACGAGAAACCCATGCACAGGACCTCTTCGAATCGTTCCTATTGTGTGGAGTTGACGCTAAATGCTGCTATTTATGCACCCCTGGAATATTCTCTCATTATTTGTTGTGGATATTAGTGGATAATCTGAATCAATCTCCTTGTACAACCCAACTGGACCATCGGTACATACATATCTACTAGTTCGGCATTGTCATTTTCAAAAGACCAAGATCACTTTCCAGCCATTCTGGTAGAAATCGGTTCCCAGTCATATTTCTCATTTGAGCTTATTCGGCCTACGCATCTCGATTCGAAAGAATATGTCGAAAATCTCATTTCTTGAACCTGAGTCTGTATTTCACTTGTCAAAGTTGGATAATTAAAGACACTCCCTTATAGAGTAAGAAATTCTCTATTGAATAGTTAAGACTCATCGCTAAAACAATCCATCGTTCATGGAGAAAGCTTTCAGTCATGAGCGTCTTTACTTACGGCCAACCCATTAAAAAATTGTTGCTTACTTGTGCTTTACCGTTTCACCTTTACAGGTGCAAAAACTCGTCATCAAAGGTCTCCCTTCAACATGTTCGCGCCATGAAGATTACGTTGATCAGGTATTTCAAATAGGATTGTTCTCTGAAAAACTCAATATTCTTATCCCGATTGAATGATAACAGGGAGGAGCTCTTCAAGTTGTCTTCATGAACTGAAGCTTGTTTGTTTCTATGCGGTGTTCTTTCTATGCGGTGTTCCTTTTGACCCGGATCAGACAACCTGATATTGCTACGACTATAAAAACCTTATTTATTACTAGCCGAAATAGAGCTAACCTATTACTGTTCATAGGTTCGGTGACGGTCCTCGCTCAGCGGCTGATCATTCGTGATCAGTAGAGGCTGCTGAATTAGTAAGAAATCACTGAATTTCGCGTATTCAGAGAAATATCCCAAAGGTAAGCCAAACTTTGGCATCTGTATTTTCCAATAAGATTGCTCGCAGATAGTCTGTGAGAGCGCGTTCAGACTTCGCGATCGCGCGATCGGATCGCTTGGATCACGCGATCGAATCGCGCTACTGAGGGTGAAATTACTGCGGGAGGGGGTTAATTCGTTGAGCGTACCACGTCGGGATCGCCCGGCCTTGTCGCCGGGCGCTGCCCTCCTTCTCGTGACAATGGGCCCGGCTCGCACGTTCCATGCGGATTTGCCGCGTGCTAAGTCAAGGATTCCGGGTGACATACACCACACCTGTTCCAAAGGACATCTTCTGCATCATGCCACAAGACACTGAAAACGCAGCGCTTTTCTTGTTAGAGCGCATGGACAGCAGCAGCAGGCCCCCCCCCCCGACTCTCGAGAAGGAGGAAACCGGCTTAGCCAAGCGCGATCTACTGGTACGTCTCATAAGCACAACCGAAATAGTGCAAACAAAACGGCCTGTCATTGAACCACAGACCACCTGAAGCAACATACTTAATTTACTGCAATCTGTTCTCATCTAAAAGCAGCTTGCTTCTGCGAAATGCACTACCCAGCCTCAGCAGTGAAGAAACCCTCTTAAAGGCCCTCACTGAATTAGCCTGGATGGAAGATACTGGAGTAATTGATAAAGTTAAGTTGCCTGCTGTTCCACATAACACTTTCCTGTAAACAAACCACCATGACTTTGAACAGAGCTGCTAGCGTCGTACAACGACTGTTTTACCATAAGCAGTGAGGAATCGAGTTCTTCCTGGAATCATATCTGAGATCAGTTCATACTTGCCAGATCACATATCAAGTCGCGTTTGTTGTTGTGAGCGTCGTGAGCGGATTTTCCCATGCTACCTTGTCAATTTCAGCTCCTATCACTTCCGTACCCGCCAATAACACTCCCGTCCCGTATCACTATCATATCACCCTGTATCGCCTCTCGGATCAGAGGTCCCACTGTTGCTGTAACCTGCGTTACGAATCTGATAACCCTCCCCTTCCGAGGCCGTTACCGTATCTTATCAACTGTTATCACTTTCTTCGCGGCCAATCCAATTTCCGTCCACACCCCATATATCCACACGGATCCTGATACCCACTGTTGCTCGTAACCTGCGCACGACCATTCGATCTGACCCTTCTCTTCGAGGCACTTAATCGGGTCTTATCAAATGTTAATCGAGCTTCTGCCAGCCCCCACCAGGCATATCAGCTACTTGAAATCATCGGTCCGCGTTGCATGCAAACTCTGCCACGAAATTCGCGTACCCTCACTTTTAACGGCCCCGCTATATCGATCTTATAGTGTTTCACCTCCTACTCACCCCACAAACCAAGATGTTCCGTCCTGCCATGATATAAATCATCTTCGAATCCAAGTCCCGCAGTGCTGCACACTTGCGCTACCGATTTCGAGTACCCTCCCTTTCATAAGGCCTATTATCGGAATCTTCATCACGAATGTATCAGCCTCCCTGTCCACATCAAATGTTCCCGTCCTGCCATGTATATCACTCCTTGAAATCACGGTCCCACACCTGCTGCAACTTGCGCTACGAATTCAGTCACCCTCCCCTTCTACGGCCCCTTATCGTATCTTATCAAGTGTTATCACCTCCTGACACCCACCAAGTGTTCCCGTCCTGGCACCGTGTATAAATCACCTTCTGTGGACACTGTCATCCCATATCTATTCTGCGAGCGCCTCCGCTTAATTTCGTGACACCAACACACACCACAACACACCAACACACACACCACACACACCACACAGGACACACACAGACACAGCTAGCGGATTGTAATAATAGTAGGATATGTTTATTGATCATGTTCTTTTCTTTTCCTTCCTTCTTCATTTGTGTTCATGACGCCTTCCTAATTTTAAAGGAATGTTCCCAAATATCTTTGAGTTGTGTTTTTTTTTGTATCCCCATTTTATTTTCAGGTTCGAATTGTACAAGGTCGTGAATGCTGTTTCTTGCTCAACATGAAGAATCATCTAGTGAGTCTTGCTTCTTTTTGCTTTTGGTATTTCTTTTATCTCGTAGGGAACTTCTCTTGGTTCCGCATTTTTAGAATTTTTATGTTGTTATGTTTTAGTTTTATTTTTATGCTAAAGAAAGAGAGCAGAAAACTATAAATTCTAAAACTGCGGAACCCAAGAGAAGTCCCTAACGAGGATAAAAGAATACCAAAAGCAAAAGAAGGCAAAGACCGCAATAGATGATTCTTCCATTGTTGAAGCAACGGAACACAGCAATTCAGCGACCTTGTACAATTCGAACCTGAAAATAAAATGGGAATACAAAAAAAAACACACAACTCAAAGATATTTGGGAACATTCCTTTAAAATTAGGAAGGCGTCATGAACACAAATGAAGAAGGAAGGAAAAGAAGAGAGCATGATCAATAAACATATACGCACATAACCCCCTCCCGCAGTAATTTCACCCTCAGTAGCGCGATCGATCGCGCGATCCAGATCGCGCGATCAAGCGACCGACACGGCCGGATCCAAGCGATCGCGATCGGCGCGGATCGCGGAAGTCTGAACGCGCTCTGAACTCTGCAAATTTACGATTCATTTGAAACTTTGAGAGTAAGATCGGAATCCTGATCTGAGGTACTTGATGAAAGGGATGGAGAGCCATCATCTGAGTAGAAATCACATCTTTTTCAGCAACTATACTTGCAATGCACAAAGCCGTCATCAAGGCGGAAAGCATTTGATGAGAAACTGGCGATACTGCGTTTCATGGACGAAAAAGTCATCCGTATTAATGGCGAATTGACACCGTTTATGAAGCGGCAAATTGCTGAGACTTACTGCCGGGTTCGTTTTTTAATCATTTCAGTTTTTCTTGACACATTTTTTTTTTCTTATCACGCACGAATGGGGAACTCGGTTCATATTTGTTAGCAGGTGTTTTGTGCATATCACGTATTTGTAGTGTTAATTGACCACATCAGTCTGAAATCTCCCATAATTCTCAAAATATTTTCAAGTTTTCATGACTAGGAGGATGGCTCTATTCCACGAAGCTTGTTTCAGATGTTGGTCTCCTCAACACCTGATGAAATCGAGGTGATACTTCGATTCATTGGGGAGTCTCGTCAAATAACTGGATTGGAGAAGCAGATCACTTTCGAGGCTGCACTGAATTGCCTAGTTGACGCAGGAGTAGACTTGGATAAGGTTGGTCTCGCTTCCTTCCGCGCTGTACTCTCCTCATAGCTTTTCCACTTATATAGATTGAGGGTTCTCTCTTTATCTGATCTTGCAGTAATCGTAGCAGTTTTACAGGAGAATGATGTTGGAGATCATAGCGAACTCCACAAAATAATTAGTAATGTCGTGAAAATTGTCCTGATTCTACGTGTGAGTGTGCTTCTTTTTACCACCGCTTCTGAATCGTCTAGAAAAGAACGCAGTTATTTGTTTCAGTCAGTTGATCGGTCTTACATTATGCCCAGAAAGATGACAAATTATATATTTTCCAAATTCGATAAGCTTCATAGATTTCATTCTTCTGATCGAAAGGACATTCTGAAGGTATGCGAGTAATGTTATGTTCAGTTGCCTAACTATGACGAACTGAGACTAGCTACAGTGTTCACGAATTACTTGAAATTTTCGATTTTTTTTATTTCACTTTATTTTTGCATTTATTCAGCCTTCGTATAGTCTGTGTGGTGGTCTGTTCAAACTTCGCGATCACGCGATCCAGTCGAGCGATCCGAGGCCGGAGGCGCTCCACCTGCACCGCCGCAATCCCACAATTTAAACTGGCGCTGTGGCCCAATATGAATACTGCAGTTGCGTGGGTGCACCGTTTTGTTATGAAGTGTTCCAGTCAGGATCGCTCGACTGGATCGCGTGATCCAATCGCGCAGTCGCGAAGTATTAATGCGTCTTACGCAGCGTTCAGACTTCGCGATGGCAGCGCTTCGGTCGCGCGTTCGACGCGATCGATGCAGTCGAAAGCATGCGCATCGATCGTCGAATCGCGCGACCGAAGCGCTGCTGTCGCGAAGTCTGAACGCTGCCTTAATGGCATGCTATGTGCGATTTTCTGCTAGATGGGTCCTTTCTATGTGCAAAGGGGCAGTTCTGTAGAGCTGTTGCATTCTCGCCGTTTGGAATGTGAAATGAAGCTGGATAATGGTAACAGCTGAACCTTGAGTCTTCGCTTGCGTTTCCTGTGTGATCTGCCTCCCCTTCATGTTACCAACACGTTTCACTTCGAGGGAAATCCCCGCTGCGAACGTGTTGGCTGCAGCTGGAAAGAAACATTAGACAATGGCGCTCCAAGGCGTAAGAGGGCGCCGGCAAGTAGAGTATAATGGATATGACTAGCGTGCATGCCTACTGCGTTGCGTACAGTATAGTTCGCTGCGGAAGGTGAGGCG